TAAAAATTCTTCGCCTTCTTTTGAATTAATCACTACAGAAGATGAAGATTCATCAGTCCAAGGAACTTCGGAAAGCAACACAATTCCAACAAATCGACTTCAAATCATAAAAATCGATGACTCAGAAATCGAAATCGATTACACGACCTTCTACGAGATGATACGTTACATTTACACCGGCCAAATAACATTCAACAGTACAGTAAATCCCCTATCCATCTATAAAATCGCCATTAAATATGAACTATCAGACTTGAAGACCTGCGCAAAAGTAGAACTTTTCGAAACACTTACTTTTCAAAATGTGACGACACGCTTGTTTAATGACGGCACACACAAATATCCAGAGCTACGAAGTTATCTGGTAAAATTTCTCGTGGATAATTTCACAGCCATCCGTGAGACTGACGAGTTTAAACGGGTGATGGGGTCGCCTGCAGAGTATCCGCATTTCGCCGAATTGATGGCTGAAATATTTGCATTGTTGGGCCCAAGAGCTGCTGATGATGTTTCAAAATAATCTTTAAACAGATTGAGACTAATAAGCGGAAAAATATTTCTTTTTTTCTTGTGGTGTGCTACCCTCTGTGTAAATTGTTGTAATTGAATTCTAAATCTCCAAATAAAGAATTTATGGTATTTAAAATATTTGCATAATATTAATAATACCACCGAAATCGGCAGGAAAATATATGTGTATTATCGTTTGTTCGGATTACACATAAAATTCCCAAATTTATACTATATTTTGAAATTTGTATGTAATATAAAAATCTATGAAATACATGTGCATTTTAGCCAAGAAATGCTAATAGTCGTGTGATCGATGATAAATTCTTTGTCAAGCGTGATACATGTACATGTTTAACGGTTTATCAAAGTTTCTCGTATTCGGTGAAACATATATCGATATGTATGTATGATTACAAGCAGCAGCCAAGTTTTTTAATTCAATCCTGAAATAGAAATCATATGGTAATAGCTGTTTTTAGTGTTCTGTGCCGAGTTTTTGTAATACCGATACGGTGTAAATTCTATATTTCATAATACATGTTGTATTCTTTCTTATGAGATTCGGTATTCAAAAAAGAAAGAAGCTGCTTATAGTTCGCTAAAGGGTAATATACAAGACGATAATGTAAACTATTTTCGAAATTTGAGCATTCATGTAATTGAAAACTTTATTTATCTCGTACAATGTTTGCGCATGGAGTGCGTTATTGTGTTTTTGTTTATGTGTGTCTGTAAGTACATGTATGTGTATTTACATGCTAAGAAAGGTTTTTATATACCTCTTACACTTAATCATCGGGAAGAAATTGGGCAAATGTGTAATTATTCATTATCAGTTCCTGTATGTGCATGCGTGCATCAATCAACTATCTATCGATCAATTAATATTGAAATTCTGGAATCAATGGCTGAATATCTATCGGTCTTACGAGGGATACGAGAACAATCAATTTTCAAAGAATGCATTTTTTTCAAATAGAACAACAACGCATTGAGGTAATTAATCTGTTTTCAGTGCATCAATCATTCAATTAATTATAGATTATTTAATATGAAATGCAAATTTAAGTATAACATGTTATTTCGTAACGAGATAACGCCATTTCGAAAAAAAAACTACTGTTAAGGAATCATTCATTCATTCATTCAGTAGCATGAATAAATACTGATAGAATATTCGGTAAACTTGCCAGATCATATATTGATACCATCATTAATAGTAATTGCCATAAAAATCACCAGTGAAAAAAAATAACAGGACTCGCCTGTTTTTGAACTCGTACTAACGTTATAACTAAACATTATATTGTTCCCATACATATCACACAAATATGTAGTTCAAAAAGAATCGTAACGGTAACACATATTACAAGTACAAATCCACTAAAAAACGGATAACCGTTTTTAATTTATTTTACGTACTTCGATAGCATGATAACGAAAAAATTTTTATAAACTTTTATTATGATAGAAAAAGAATCTTTATAAGAAATGAAGAATGGTTACAAATGGTAAAATTTATGGCCTGTTGCTACTTTTCATTGATAATACTTCTTTCGTCAAGAATATATTTGCATTCTTTGTACATGTACCTCTAAAAGCAATTATTATTGACGTACTTCTTTTAGATTATGTACATTTGATCTGAATAAAATTTGATTTTATTAAAAACGACAATATAGATTATTTCAAATATAAATGCATATGATACTCAACTGATTGTTAGACTGTATACACATACGCATACACATACTGATACATCAGTACATTATTTTAAAATTTGAAATGTCATAGTAAACATCTTAATATCTTCATTCTACAAAACTCCATGAAACGGACTTTTTTTTCTTATACTCATTCCGGTGTACATAATTATTTGCGAAATGAGTAGGGCTGACTTATAGGAGTCTCCTAATTTCAAATATTTTAATGTGTATTCATATGAATTTTTCTTGCCACCCGTATCAATATAACAAAAATTTTTATTGATATGATACATGTATTTGAAATTCAATCGACAAAGTTTTTGAATTTGATCCTTCGAAACTTAGAATTTTTC